ATCAATAAAGTTATTTCATTCATTTAATTGATCAAAGTACAAAAAGAGAGAATTAAGCATCCTCCGACATTAATACAACATAATTGAAATGCAATAAAAGTTAAAGCAGATAGATCATCGTAATAGATGGATAGCGGATCCATGGCATGCCTAGGATGCATCAATAGGGTCTTCGCGGCTAAGCCGGAAAGTCTCAGGTCACTTTCCATTATGACTTTGGAGGTCCCGGCATAAAACTCGGGAGTTCGACCGCTCTCTAAAAGAGGGAAGAAGATACGACAAATCTCAAAGAAATGGAAGAAAGTGAAATTAAACTCTTCCACTAGGAGTAATTTATAGGATTTAAGAATCCAGAAAACTTTGATCTTCTCATACGTGAATCTACGATTCATAAAATGAAACACGGTGAGGGCAAATAGGTCTCTCCAGTCTCGATTTGGAGGACGTCGATTGAGCTCTGTAACAATATGTCTAAATTGACACGGAAAGCAGTACATTTTTGCATAGATAAATCGTTGAGTGGTCTTGTACCTGATTTGCAAGATAAAACTCTCGATCTGGTATTGATATTGGGCCTTTTTCCAGATATGGGCCAGGGGATGAAATGATGGGCCAAGCTCAAACCATAGCACCTGGACCTAATAGCCCACTCTTAAACTTCATATTGGGCCAAGCCCAAGACTGTTTTCTGTCGTGAACCAGAGGGGTCATCGGAGTGGAGATCCACCGATCCGGTCGCTTGCCAGTACCGGAAATATGTTCGGTCATTCTTAAACGCGACGGAGGAAGGTCTGAGCATCGCCTGAGTTTAAATCGAGGTACAACTCCGACGAGAGAGGATAATTTCGGGTTCTTTGGGCCATCTCGGAGCCAGCGGCGCCGGACTGTAAGAACCAGACTGACGGAAGATAGCGAGGGTCGAGAAAGAGCGGCGGCGGGAGCAGATCCTATACCTCCAAAATCGGAGCAGCAGTAGAGAAATTCCGGGATCGTGAGGATTTTTCCGTCAGCGGAACCAAACTTAGAGCCGTTGATGGAGCAGGGGGTAGGGTAATCTCCCCGTCGTTAAGACCACGGCGGAAATGGTGGTGGTGGCTTTAACAGACAAAGGACATTTAGTGCATTCACCGTCTTCTCTTGTTTATTAGCTGATCATCCATCAAACCATTAAAACTGATTATTCCGACCACAAGTGCACGAGTACTTTGTTGTTTTAGTCCAGTTTGGTTTAAATTTTCAATGGAATTCTTGTCAAGGGCTACAACACATGCTCTCCCATATCCTTACTTTTGTCTCTAGAATGTATAGTTAAGACTATCCCTGGACCGATAGCCTTGGTGACTGTGTCGTTTAGCAAAAGGATTGAAGAATCCTTGACCAAAACTCATGGCATAACAAAAAATTATAGAAAGAATGACGAATATTTTCAATTGTATATATTTTTTTTTTTTCAATAGACGTTTTGTGTTTGTTTATGGATTCATA